ACAAACACAAATTGTTTTGTGCTCCTGTTCAGTTTTGCTTTTTGAAAAATCCTCAAAGTTTCATTGAATCAGAGTTTAATCTGTTCTTTCATGATGAAATGCACAATTTAGCTAAAGGGTCACATAAATACATGCATATACACGGATACATTGAATACCTGTAACCATCATTAAATGTATGCACATTATTACCAGGTGTAACAGCAAAATTGTCTAAATCGTCTAACAGCATGGGATTATTGTCCATCCTACAAAATGTTAAATATCTAAAAAAAACACTAAACTAATTGAATTACTTTTTTCCAGGTTTTCAGATAAGATGTTTAGCCATCTTGTCATCATTTATTGTATGAATCACTGAAAAAGCTTTTGAGTTATTCAGCTAAGAAGAGAACAAGTTAAAATTGTTTTGTGTCAGCCATACTATATCTTCCCAACTGTGCAATGTTGAAAGGAAAAAGATCATTCAGGTCTTCAGTAATGGTACCAACATCCATACTCTGGCTTCCATCTTCAAAGTCCATTCAAGAACCTCAAGAAAATGATGAATAAGTTTAAAAATTGAGGAACAGTAGAAAGGAAAACTGAATGAGGAGGTCAAAACAAGAAGAGGGATCAACTTAGAGCTAAATACATTCTTATGGTTCAAAATAGAGTCCAATACTGTGATAATTGCAATCTTGTGTTGTGCATGAATCTCCAAGTTGTGTTACCAGTGAAAGATAACATGTACATTTATTAATATATATTTAATAGCTTTATTATATTACATTGAGCACTATTTTATTAACACCAGCAGTATGTGAGATATATATATATATATATATATATATATATATATATATATCCAAGTAAAATGAGAAGAAATTGAGTATAATTCCACTGTACATAATATTTAATAACTAATCAATCAGTGATATTAATAATACTAACTAAACATCTGTACATCCATATAAGATGTTAATAATACTAACTAAGCATCAGTACAGAGCTATATTAAATCATAATGAATCTTACAAATAGAATAGTAAGCCATATAAGGTACACTGCAGTTCATCTACTGATTATTACTATAAGAAAAAGTATTATCAAATTCAAAGTTTAAATACATTGTAAGACAAAAGTAGACTATGCCTACAAATTACAGTCATTTCAATTCTTTGGTTTAATAAGGAGTTTTTATCAAAAAATCTGATAATTTCTCATGTAAGCATAGAAAGCAGTTAATTTAAAGATCTACATGGTTTAGCTTTTTTTTTAAATTTTACATTAGGAGTTTTATTAGCTTCTTTTAAATTCCAAAAATATTTAGGAAGAGATGTACTAATTTTATAAGTACTATTGGTGAAGGATAAGATATGTTGATACCACCTAGTCTTAAAAGAATTCTTAGTACTACCAATATAAAATTTTTCAACAGTTGGATTCTCTGTTGTAGAAATAGCACTTAAATAAACAAGAGAGTTGGTTAAACATTGGTTTCGTAATGGGCATTACAAAACTGAATTGATGTTTAGTTAGTATTATTAACATCTTATATGGATGTATAGGTGTTTGGTAAGTATTAACATCTCACATTGATTAGTTGTTAACATATGAATGTTCTTTATTTAACAGTTGCATACTAATTTGCCAAAGTAATTCTGTATTATTGGTCTGTTTTTTATTTTTTTTATTTTTTTCGAAAAGGTTAACTTATCTACCAGTTTCTTAAAGGGGCCTTTTATTTATCAACTACAAATTTTTATGTAAGAAGCTGAATGAACATATAGCTAGTTAGCATTATATTAAATTATCACCTTACTTCTTTCACTTTTTCTTCTTAGGAAAGTTGAACACCAGACTTCTATACATCTTATGAAATAATGTAACTACTTGTCCATAAGGAAACTGTCTAGGATTTATATGCAGACAACTTCATGATATGACCTGTATTAAAATATTATTTCGGTGAGTTTGAATTTAGCGTAGGTCACATTTGATTGGTTAATCACGATAAAGCCCACAAGGATATTTTTTTTTTTTTTTTTTTTGACTTATTTTTGTTTTTTCAAAAAAAGAGGAAGTATTCTGCTTCTGAAATTAAATTAATTCTTCATTCATGAGTAGTTTAACATTGCTCGACCAGACACATTTGTGGTGTCAAAACATAGTTGTAATTGTGTAGCAAATTTTAACATGTTTTTGTTTTAATATCCTAAAATAAACAATAAAATTATATATATATATATATATATATATGGTGCTAATTTGGAAGACTGTTTTTGAAGCCAAAATTGCTAGTTTTTCAGTGGCTTGCTGATAAAGGCATTTAAGTCAAATAGGCTTTGTGGTAGCATGCTCATTATCGAAAATAAGGATAGAGCGTTAATAGAATTAATGAAAAAGTTTACTTCAAAGTTCCATGGTTACATAGAAGCAACCACTCTTCAGAACAGTTCTGATGACTCTTTTCTGAAGAGTGGTTGCATCTATGTAACCATGAAACTTTGAAAGTGTTCCTGACATGAATCTTCTAAGCCTGCCTAGAAAATCAACATACAAAATTCTGGCTTTGACCTTTGTTCACACATAAATTCCTGACATTAATAGAAAATATGAAGCTATCTCAGTTATAAGATTCAATGTTAGAATATACGAGAAGGAAAAAAAAAAATTCATCTGCATTGAAGATTATCTTTTCTGCAAAGTCTACAATAGTACCTGAAAAATCTATCATATTTAAACATCATAAATATCAGCATAAGAAAGATAGAAAGATGAGGTAAGTAATAGGTAATAACCCAGCCATTTAGACAGAGAAATGGTTCTCTGAAATGAAATCAATTTCTGAATCAACAAAGACAGACAACATTCAAGCTTACTGAACATAAAAATTGTAATGTTTTTTTGTTTTTTTTAAGAATTTTATTTTGAATGACTTTTCAAACTTCCTTTCCCCTTTGGATCAATAACAAAAATCTACACTGAAAAATAAAATACAATTCAAAATAAATTGCAATAACACAAATGTAACAACATTAAACACATGCACATTTTATATATATATATATATATATATATATATATATATATATATAGTAGAGGGTTACAGAGTAAGAGGCACAGTTTATCATGATATGTGAGGAATATTATATTTAATCCTAGATTTGAACAGAGTAAAATTGTAGGGGAAGCATCCACTTGGGAATCAGTTCCACAGAGCTCCAGGTTGACTTAGGAACATTTTGAATTCTGAGAAAGTGCGCACATATTTTATTGTAAGACTTCAGGTTCAGTATTTATTGTGCTCTTTCTGTTATTTATCTTGAAAGATGTATATCTCAGCTTACATCGGATTTTGTAGGATTTTTGTGAATATGTTTGCTTATCATCCGGTTCCTACTCCTTTCTAATCTTTCGAACAGGAGTAGTGTTGTTTCTTGCTTATGATCAGATTTCTTGTTCTTTCTGAAGTTTTCTCTTTCATTTCCAGTAGCTCTTTGCGTCTTAGTGGTATTATTGCCTTGCTTGGGGTGAATTGATTAAAAAAAAAAAATCATTGCTACTTGAAAAGGAAACCCTTTGTAGGTAATTATGCATAGGTATTATTGTATATATAAAATGAGATTGAGTGCATTAGATTTATTATTTAATTGAGTTCACCCCAAGGACAGCAGTAGAGCCACTAACACACAAGGTGTTGCTGAATGTGAAAGAATAAGAAAAAAAAAAAAGAACCATTATTAAGGAGTGAGAGCAGTAGAAGAGTAATCAGGAGGACAGTAGATAATGATTATCATTCCATTTAAATTTTTGCAGATTAAAGTTGGCTGCAAGGCATGGAACTGGAAGGGAGTTCCACAAGTGAGAAGTGCAAGAAAAGAAACTGTTAGCATAGAACTTATATCTAGATAACTCAATTGTAAATTGATTAGACCTTGTCGCCAGTCTAGTATTGTGCTAAAATTCATAAAATCTAGGTACCATAGTGAAGAGTTCATCTGAACAATTACCATGAAAGTATTTATAGAAAAGGCAGAGAGAGGCAACTTTATAGTGGTAAGAAAGTGATGTAGTCTCTTTTAGAATTCACTGGTTTGATATTTACTATACAATGCATAGGTGGCACAATTTATCTTCATAGGAGACAGAAAAGGATTTAGTAAAAAGAAGGTCTTTGTTTAATATAATAAATCATCGTTTAGTATTGAAGAACATATTGATATATACCATAGACTTATGGAGGAACATTGTATTTAGACAGGCAGACTTTAAACAGCCAGTTGTTATTTGGAAGAAAAGGAAATTGTGAATCTTTGAATGGTCTGTGAATAGCAAAATGCAATGGAAGAAGCAAACACTTTGTAGGATAGTTTCTCGCAGTACTTTTAGGAGGATGGGGAGAAAGTGTAATTATTTTCCCCATTGTATTTTTATTCTGCTTCAGTACTTTGGAAAAAAATGTCTAGCCTTCACTTTGATCTTATGAGGTGTTTTCAACTTGGGAATTTGTGCTAGCCATGCTGCATTTGTACCATTCCAGACGTTCTGTGAAATTCTACCTGTTTGTATATAAAGTTCTAATCTTATCAAATTATTCTTGGTATATGATGACTTTACAGTTTCATTACCATTGAATTATAGCATTATTGTTTGGCATTGTTGATGCGATAAATTGTAACTTTGTATTTTTCGTATTTTTATTTCATTTTTCCAATTGATAGATTAGATATGTTGGATGCTGATTTGACTTTTGGTTGGAAATCTCAAAGGAATCTTTGATGTCTGTTCTTAAAAGGAAAATTGCACTCAAAACTTTTAAACTTGGACTTCGATTCTGATTTATCGGTGTTGAATCTATCAAAAGATGACAATTTTTTTCGTTTTTCTCTGTGCAGCTGATTCTATTCTGTTTTTTCTTTTTCTTATGTTTTTTATTTTTTTCACCTGTAAATATTTTACTTGGCATTTGGGATGCATAATTTAAAAAAGTATTGCTTACCTTTCTAACTTTGGCTTATGGCCATATAGCATTGAAACATTGGTTCCCGTGTGATCATCGACATTAAGCAACATCAAGCCTGGTCAGTACTTAGATGGGTGACTACTTGGGAATCGGGTGCTGTAAGCTTTCAGGTAGTGTAATGGATAATGGCTCAGAATTGGAGAGCGCCAAGTTCCAGTTTCAGCTGGATTTATTATATTCACTGACATGCAAATACCCTTGAGAAAGGTATGAATTCACCTCCTCCCTGCAGGTATGAGTTGATTAGTAGTGTTGGTTTTAATTCACATAGGAATGACTGCTAAACACTAGCCCTTCCCCATTTTATAGGTAGAAGCACACAAATGCATGCTGGGATTTTTTCCTAGCTAATAAAATAGGCCAGTTCTTGGTTTCATCTGACTTGGTACTGGTCTGTCTTGCCTTGAAGTCAGAACGACATGTTTGCTTATCCAAATTTGCTTTTGTGTGTCATCCCCAATTCTTAGTTTGTGAACTTTTTGCCATATTATTGTTGCTTTGCCTTAATGTTGATTTGCCTTGCATATATTGTTTGCTTGCTTTATATTATTTTTTGCCCTGTTCTTTTATTTTCTTGTTATTGCTTACTGCAAACTTTGTCAATTCAGTTTGTTAGACAGTTCTGTTACTTATTTTGCATTTGACCATGGTTACTCACTCCACAAGTAGAACTTGTATCACTAAATCATTATTCCTGCCTCAAAAAAATTTTTTTTATAGTGTAAAAATATTTTCTCACTTTAAATAACCTTCAAAGGGTTGATAAGCCATAGAAAATGGATCAAGCCATCAATCATAAGATTCAAAACCCAAAATTTCATTGACAAAAATGCTGTTGTTCTTGGTAATGTGTTTCATTGGAAAAATTATTTTAAGTGAAATAAACTATAATTAACTGATTCTTGAAAATGAATGAATCAATCCAACCTTTCTAACATTACTTGTAGTGTTTTACATAAATGTATGAAATTATTTGGTTGTCATGTTCAGACTAAGAAAGTTTTATTTTTTCAAAGGACTCTCTATATATATTAATTCTTTTTTATGTTAAGGGGGATTGCATTTTCTATATTTTTAATGATTCATAGGAGCCTATATTTAGAGGGAAATCCATTAAAATTCTACAAAATCTTAATTACAGCACCATTTTATTTTCCCCATGCACAATATAAACAAGAAAAATATGCAATTGATCTTGTTTGGGACATGCTGCTCTATAAAGTGGGGACATAAATCATCTGTCTAACAGTTCACTCTGATCATTTCTGCCTATCTATGCTGATGATACAATGGTATATGGATGCACATCCAAAACTCTAGATAATCAGAGATTAGCAGCTGATTTCTCCTCTGACCAAGCTCTAACATCTCTGTTGGAGGTGGGGAAGTGACTGGTCAGATTCAATACCCTGAAAACCAGACTAGTGACATTTCATCATCACAGATCGAACCCAAAACTCTCACCAATCATAATTAATGTGTCCCCTCGGGGAGGCCCTGTGCCGACTTAAACTCAACAAAGATCTCAAGTAGAACTTGTGCATACATTCCATCACTAAAGATACTGGAAAAATGGTCAGTTCTCTGTACTTGACTCCTCATGCTATCCTCTACCTTTACAAGAGCCAGATCAGGCCAAAAATGGAGTGCTGTTGTCATATATGGGCAGGAACTACCAGTCTTCACTTTCCAGTTTTTATAGTTCAAAAGTATCTCAGAGTCTTTGTGGGTGACAAATTATTTTCCATTCTCCAACTTTCTCACTGACAAAACATTGCAAACTTCTTGCTGCTTTATTGCTATTTCCATGGAAAGTTTTTCAGACAAACTACATTCTTTAGTTCCACCAATTCTAACCTTCACAGCTAAGATCCCGCCATATCACACACATTGTAGTAAACCACCTGCATTCCATTTGTATTCCATTAGTGAAAACAAGTTTCACTTGAGGAGCTTCTTCCCGCAAATCATTGTTTTGTTGAACTGAATCCCAAGAGCATGCTACTCCAATTGCTAGAACTTTAACCTGTTCAAGTCTAGGGTCAACTGTTATCTTCTCTACATATTCCCATAAACTGTGCCTCTTACTCTGTAACCATTTACTATGAGTGATTCCCAAGCCTTGCACAGGGTGAACATCACTTAAAAAAAAGGGAAAGATATTAATAACTTTTAACAGGACATCAATTATTTTAGATATCAAATCAAGAATCTTTGAATGAAGATTTGTGTAACTGAGTTTCTCATGGAAGCTTGATTGTGTTATACAATGATAAAGAAAAAATACGTTTTTTAATTGGCTTAACTCTTTCTGTATTTCATTTTTATTCATAATATTGCTGCCAAGTTCAAGCTAAGAAAAAATAGGTGAGAAAAATAAATTTATTTTTTTTAATCTTTGACAAAATAGAAATTCATATTTTCTCCTTTTTTATTTTTTTGTCATTCTTTTCATGCTAACATCAGATTAGGGATTGTCTTGATGTATTTAAAGAGCTGAACACTTTATTTCATTCACTCATATTAAAAATGAATTCATTCATGTTTGTAGTTTTAGACATCCTTATATAATGGTAAATGTATAAACTTGGATACTAAAGTTGATTTCTTTGTTTTTTTATGTTATTATTTGAAGAATATGATTTATGTTTTGATTGACTATTTTTAGCTGCACCAACGAGGTTCCACTTGTTGCATTAAACATAAATGCACAAAATAAATAAGAACTCAACTTTATAGCATTTTAGATTTAAGATTTTCTTTCCAGGTTACTGTTGATTGTAGTTTGTTAAAATATATTTCAAGGTCATTGACTAAACTTGATCATGAAAAATAAAACCAATATTGTAAATTCAGATTATAAATATTGTTTGAAGTGAAATTGATGTTAGGAACATTTAATATTTCTTTTTAATAAGAAAAAATAAAATATTTAAGGATAATATTTTTAGTGTAAATTAAAAATATATATTAAATTTTTTATTTAGTAAGGGAAGTAACTCTAATAAAAAAAAAAATGTTTTTTGCTTTGATTAAAGGGACATTATCCGATGCGGGAATAGAAGCCATAATTCGAATTACTTGTCTGTTACTATCAAAACTTGATAATTTTTATTAAAACGAAAATAGAAAAAACATCTTTGAAATAATAACCACAACAGAAGAAAAATATTTACGAACATTTATTCAAATTGTGTTTTTTAATTTAGGATTGTAAAATCCCCAAAAAAAAAAAACAACAAAAAACGATGGAATTTATAATTGTCCTAAAATTTTCTAATCAATATTGGATTGAAAATGTTTCTTATTAATTAGATTCTTTGAGAAACAAAAGTTCATTATTATTTTCTCTCTTTTTCAGTAATTCGATTTTGTTTTGCTATTTTGTGTGAACTATAATTTTTATTCTTTTTCACATGTTCCTGTTCTTTATCTAAATTTCTTTTATTATTTTTCATTCTTACTACCTTTTCCTCTTCTTGTAAGATCAGCACTGTTTTCTGTTACTTTTATAATAGTCACCTTCTTAGCATTACCTTTTTATAAAGGTGTTTTTTATCTTTCAGTTTTTATTCCTAACATCATTATCCAAGCTTGTAGCAGGACCTGTGGAAATTCCCTATTACCTTTTCTTTGTGGTTTAAGTAGAAAACAAAGTAATTACTATATACTAGTATACCTGTGTTATCAAAAATAACTGCAGTTAGAAATTTCTAATAATGAGAAACAAAGAAATAAAAGTTTTGAAACAATGTATTGAAATTCAATAATGCAAAGATAAAGAATTCACAACTAAAATAGAGGCCACTGTACCATTTAATTAATCCATTACTTTTAAATATTTTAGTCATTCAATGATATCTATGATTCATTGGATACTCCTAGTATTATATAATTTGCTTTTTATGCAATATTTTTTTCATATTAAATATTTTATATGTTTAATATAACAGTGAAATGGAAATATCTCTTGGAAGAAAAAAGATGGTAAGACTATCACAATAGACAAAGGTATCTGAGTACCTCACATGAAAGACTTGATCAAATAAGACTGCAATCTAAGAAATATCGGCATAAAGGTACTGATTACTGAAATGGTTCATTTTGCTTGGGACCTAATTTTTTTTAAAATGCAGATAAATATTTTGTATAGATTATTAAAACGACTAAGGGAAGTAATCACTCATACATTTTTAACTTAAATTGATTTACCTCCCTTCCCACTAGAAAAATAAATACATATTGATAATTATATAGTTTTATGATTAGCTGGATTTAAAGGAATTCTACAAATGTTGACTCTTATCCATGATCTACTACCTATGCTCTTGTCTCACCTTTTACTTGTCTCTTCTCATTTCATTCCTTATATTTTCCCAAGCTTTGTTGTTTTATCAAAAAATCTATTGTACAAACATGGATTAATTTCAGATGTAGAAATAGATAAAAGCAGGTAAAATAATTTCTGTTGCATCTTCTTTCAACGTATCACAATTTTCATGCCTTTTCATCCCTACCTGCCTTTGAATATTTCACTTATTGTCTCTTAATATCCTGCCAGCAAGCCTCTCTCTCTCTCTCTCTCTTTATTTTGGTTCTTATCCCTCCCCCTCTCTCTATATATGTTCTTTTCATTTAATTTTAATTTTTTCTCATTTTCTTGATATCTACTTACCTCCTCCTTCACACTCTTCTTTTCTTCCCTCTCTTGGCCATATCACATTAAAACATTGGTTCTCATACAATCACCTGAGCTAAGCAACATCAAGGCTGGTCAGTTCCTAAATGGGTAACTACTTGGGAATAACAGGTGCTGTAAGCTTGGAGATATGGGTGGAATAATGGATAATGGCTTAGAATTTGAAATTGGAGAGCCATGTTCCAGTTTTACTCAGATTCGTTATATTCCTTTACATGCAAATATCCTTGGGAAAGGTATGAATCCATATATTCTCAACCTCCACCCGCCCAGCTATAGGGTAATTAGTAGAACTTGTATCAATGAATCATTATTATCTCAAAAAGTTATTAAAATAAAAAAAATGAAAAAAATATTTCTGGCTTTAAACAACCAGCGAAAGGTTGATCAAAACAGGTTGAAAAGGTTGAAAACAAATCAATCAATATTGCCTCCTCTTTTCCTACACTTATAGGTTTCTTGGTCAGATAATTTAATTCTAACTCAGAATGGTAAGGGATCAGGCAGATACAACACTTTGATCCTAAGTAGAAAAACATAATAATAGTACATAACAACAAAAGTAATTATAGTGTGAATTTTATATAATGCAGTCAGAATGATTTCAGTCAGTCAGTTAAGTGTTCCATGTGATCATGGGTTTTTTAATCCATGACTGACTAGGTAGAAGTCTTTTTCCGCAGTAGGTTGCAGTTTCTTTCTACAGCAGACTTGTTACCAAACAAGGTTATAGGACCCACTGAGTTGGAACAAATACATTGAGTCTATTGCTTTGTCCACCGCAAGGAAAGTTGGCTCCCTGTGCTGCGCCAGGAAATTTTTCTCCCCGGAATCGATCCTCCAGATCTACAAATCAACAATTCGCCCTTGCATGGAGTATTGCTGCCATATATGGTCTGGAGCCCCTTCTGTTTGCCTCGGGGTTCTTGATAGGCTCCAGAGGCGGATATGCAATATAATTGGCCCTGCTCTGGAATCTCGTCTACATTCACTTTCTCACAGATGCATTGTCGCCTCTTTCTGTCTGTTTTACAAATACTTTCATGGCAATCGCTCCGAGGAGCTGCATTCGCTGGTTCCCAGACTTTGTGAGTTCAAGTGCCTGATGAGGCTGGCATCCCGCTCTCACCTCTTCACTGTCGAAACTCCTAAATGTAGCCGTCTCTTCTACTCCAATAGCTGTCTCGCACCTCTCGCCTGTGGAACTCCCTTCCCTATTCCAGTTTCCCTGAGAGCTATAATCTCCAGCTATTCAAATGTAATGTCAATCGACATCTCCAGTTACCTTGATCTATCCACTACCCTTCTCCTCATCCTTTCTTCTATCACTCCTATCTGATCTTGCTCCAAATTTTCTGTAACCCCTTGCGTCCTAGTGGCTTCCCGCCTTGCTTGGGGTGAAATGCTTAAAAAAAATCTGCTACTAAACCAATAACTGGGGAAGAACATGAATTCCTACTTTTCTGAAGAGTATTTGTGAGCAAGTGGTGTGGGACAAACCCTACTGGAAATCAAATTTGGTTTTCTAATTTCATTTCTCATTCTGAGCCAAGAGAATTATTTACAGTTTTTTTTTTAAAAAAAGTGATTATCTGTTTAGGATTTTATGTTTGTTAAAAAAATATCATTTTCTTTTGATTTTTAAGAAGTTTTTGAACTCGTGTCTTTGCTTTTGACTTCAGATTTGGAAGATTACAACTTCCATTATATTTTTATTTTGTAAAAACTAATTAGATTTATACAGCTTGGAAATATGCATTTAATTTCAGACATTTGATATGCATACAGTGAGATACATTTTTTTTATGGCTTTCTTTTATCAGAGTTTATCTTGATAGATGTATGTTTGGGTTGATATCAAGAAAAAAACAAATGAAATCAACTGAAGAAAATAGGATTTCAAATATGACATGTACAGGGATATGAAGTGCTTTTCATAGTAATAGTATTTTAGAGTCTGTCTATATTTCTGAGATGAGGTATTATGTACATTATTTACACTATTGTCCTCATCTTTATCGCCATATTTATTACAACGTTTCAGCTGTTGTATGCTCCGGCCTTCTTCAGGTGGTTGGAATGTTGAACTGAACCCTTTATTTTGCTCACTGGGGTAGACTGTTCTAGTTCCACGTGCTATGTCTAATGGATGTCAATTATCAGTTATCTCCTGTTAATTCCCCTCTCCAAGTTCTCCACTGCCTTAACCGGGTATTGAACTCTCACTTTGGGTCCTGTCACTGGATCTAACGAACGCCTTTATCCACTGAGCCATGTATCCTTGAGGACACATGGCACAGTGGCATAGTATTTTAATCATCATACTTTTTTACACTTAACTTGATTGTTATATGCCTAATATTTTTTGCCATTGTACTCTTCAACCTTCTTCAGGTATCTGTCTCAAAATTTTGAATGAAACTCTTTACTCATGTAGATTCTTTTCCTTCTGTTTTCCATATCAGTCAGTATTTACATTACTCACTGTCACTTGTCCATTTTCTTCCACTGAGCCAGGGTATGTGACTCTGGGATTGAACTCTCAACTACAAAGGGAACCAGTTCCATTTTAACCAATTCTTTATTCCACTAAGCCATATGTCTCTTGCACAATCTAATGGTATAATTTTGGAGCCTCAAGCAACCTGTATACAGGGAGTGAAATTTTTATGAGTGTCTCTTTTGTTCTTAATCAAAAACTCCCAAATTGTAGTCATCTTCATCTCAAGTCTACTATGGAGGTATCCGGTGACTAATTTTTATTGATTCTTTCAGTCGTTTTATCCTCTTGTGTTGTTATCTATCATCTTCATTTTACAGGGTGTGATGACCATCCTTTTCCCAGTATATATATGATTGGCTATGTTTGATTTCAGTGCCTCTTCTCTTTTTATGCTCCTACACCATTTCTTTCAGGGGTGGGGGTGGGGTGCCAGTCCTCTCCTTTGTATCCCTTGCTACTACTGCAGGCAATGAAATACACTCATGTACTCAGTCATATTTCCTTCACAGTGATCTGTATCTAATTTCTTAAACCATCTACAGAACCTCATCAGTGGAAACTTTGATGAACAAGTTCACAGCATCCAATTTCATCTCTCTGAAGAAAACAAAAACCAAGAATTGTGTGTATTTTATCCCATACAGTTGTGGCAAGGACTCCACTCACAATTTAAGTGTGGAGAAACATTAAAAGGATGTATGATATTAAAATCAAATATGGCTGATAATATATGAAAAGAAAAGTGTGTTCATCAACCCATCTAGAATGAAGTCAAGATAATCGACAAAGAACATCACTGGATTATGAGATAACTTAAAGAATCAGCTTTCATGTTATACCCTGACAATCACTTCAGTAGATCTAGCATAGATATGACTACCATCTTGAAACCTTTGGTTAGAAAAGTAAGAACATTTATAAAAACTACCACTACTAAGTGAGTATGGATATTAGATTTAAGGCTCCAAAATCTCGCCACTGGATTGTCCAAGATTAAAGCATTAGATTGGTTTCTTGGCAGTTGTGAATTCAATTCCTGGGTCTGGTCATGTTGAAAATGTTACATACTCTATTTTAGCGGAAGAAAATAGACAAGACAAGTAAGTAGTAACAGATATCCCCATGACTTGAACAAATTCTGTCAAGTTTGAGTATGATGGCAAACACTTGAAGAATAGTGGAAGGTACAATGGTTGAAACATTGAGTATAAAATATGTACACTAGTCTGAATGGAAAGGCATATAATAATGGTAATTTCTGATTTTAAAAATTCTGCAGTGTTTTAATAATTATTTGATATTTTTTCAAGGTAACTGACAGTCTTGAAGTAATTTCCCATTTTTATGCAGATCAGGATTATTTATCTTTGCAGTTTCAGATAAATATTCACATGGACTGTATTCCAATTATTCTTTCTTTACAGCTGAATGCTGATGCTGTATATGTTTCGATTTCTATTTTCAGGATTTGTACATGGCTGTAGGAATCTCTGGTGCCATTCAACACTTGGCAGGAATGAAAGATAGCAAAGTGATTGTTGCTATTAATAAAGATCCAGATGCACCCATTTTCCAGGTCTCTGACTATGGACTTGTCATGGACCTTTTCAAGGTAAGAAATGGATTCACTAGTCTTGATAAAATAACATAATAGATTTTTATTTTGTGGATTTGATAATTTTTATCCATCCAAAGTAGTACTAAATTGGCAATTTTGGTTTCTTTAATTTCTTTATGGTAGTTAATCGACTCGTATGAATTATCAGATGTCTCTGAATTTGCAAATAAAAAATAATGGATTTGAAATCAATGTTGCCCTGTCTATCTATGGTGTGAATATTATCTATAATGTATTTTCAAGAGAGGATGAAAAAAGAAAAGATAAGTTTTCTATCTCTTGAGTTATCCATCTTTGTATATTTCATAATGTGTTTAGTTTTTTTATATTTTATTAACTGCCCTGAAATCTAAATAGCTAATAAAGCCTGTAGCCTATGGATTATCACTAAAAAATCACAACTCACATCTCTTGAGGGCTTTCAAGAATAGCAGCTATAACTAACATGGATAGCACATGTAGCTTGAAGTGAAAATACACATAATCAAGATGTTGATGTTCCAAACTACTTCGGACAAAAGGTTGGGAAGGAAGTGTTTGGATTTTACATTAATATTATTACAAGACGACAACAATTTGGCACAACTGGACCATGTAACTCCATCTACCAATTAAATAAAGATTTCACGCTGATTGATTCAATTGCTTTGTTAATGACTTTTTTTAATTAGAAATCATCTAGTTTGCTTGTACCATCTTAAAATAAAGGCAGTAATTTTGATAATTACATTGGAATTATTATAAAATAGCAAAAGATCCACATTGCTTTGTATTGTTTTGCTTTTATTCAATATTTCTTAAATATTAAACAGATAACATTCTTTTCACTATTGGATAAAATAAGGAATTTTACTCACAACATGAAATTTCATTTTTGCTATGTTACCTGAAGATTCCATTACACAGAGGAGAATTGCTCTTCTCCATATAGTGGGATATTCTGATGATTTACAAAAGTGTTAAATATATATAAATACATAAGGTGTGTGTTTTAATTACTGACATCAACTAAAACCATGTATATTACTTATGTATATAATATATAATAATTTTTATGGTAATTGTACTGATGAACTTTCCTTTATGATACCTAGACTTTATGAATTTAAGCGAACTACTAGATTGGCAACAAGGTCTCATCAATTTACAGTTAAAATGGCTAGATGTAACCATAAGTTCTTTGCTAACAGTTTCTTCTATCACACTTCTCGCTTGTGGAACTCTTTTCCGGCTTCTTGCTTCCCAGTCAACTTTGATCTTCATAAATGTAATGCAATGTCAATAGTTATCTTCTGTCTTCTTAATTCATTTTTTTTTTTATTGTTCTCTCTCCTTAATAATGTATTTTTCCCTCATATTTTCTCGCACTCAGTAACCCTTGTCTTAGTGGCTTTATTGCCTTGCTTGGAGTGAAATGTCCCTCCCTGCAAAAAATATTCATTCAAACAAGTTTTATTACATTCAACTGGCACAATGTTTGTTTATTTTTTATTGTATTTTTTCCAAATTTCATAAGATGTATATCAGCATTGAAATTTTGGACATATTGTCCAATGTTCTTTTTTGTTCTGTTTTTGTTTAAGTACTTTTGAACATCTTAGTCACTATCAAAAACAATGTGCTGTCAGTGTGTTAGGCAAGATTTCTTTGGTTACATCCTGGTTTTTATAGAGAACTGAAAGTTTGAATGCATCTAAAGTGATGCCCTGTCTAATGGTTAAAGGGAACGAGATTACAACAGAAAAAAATGTATCAAATATGTTTTATTGTTAATAGGTAATTTTTTTTTTTAATCATTTCACCCCAAGTAAGGCAATAAAACCACTAAGACACAAGGTGTTACTGCGAGCGAAAGAAACTGAGAAAATATTATTAAAGATTCAAGGAAACAGATGATGATTACTGCTGCATTTAAATTTTTGAAGATTGTAGTTGACAGGAAAGGAAGTAGCTGGAAGAGAATTTCACAAGTGAGATGTGTGAAAGAAAAACTATTAGCGTAGAGTTAATGATTACATTTAGCAGTTTCAATAGTAAAATGATGAAACCTAACTGCCAATCTGTGCTTAAATTTGTGAAATCAAGTTAGCAAAGAGGAAAGCTCATCAGAACAATTACCATGAAAATATTTATAGAAAATCACAGTGGGAAGCCATGTTATGGCAGTGAGTAAGAGACCAATATTGAGATGCCAGGTCATGACCAATAACGTTGATAATTCTTCTTTGTATCAAGAAGCTCTAAATACTTAGCAGAAGCACCAGACCAGATGTGGCAGAATATTCAATGCCTGGATGAATGGTAGACTTATAAATGTGTAAGGTCGGTTTTGGTGAGAAAAATTGTCTTGCACAACATAGGGAATTAACTTTCCTAGCAATAAACAGGAGTCTATTCAGTTGATGTCAGTAAATGATATTTTTTTTTTATAGTTATTAAAATTAAAAAATATTAAAAACAAATTTTATAGGTTTATCTGAACCTGACAAGCAGATCTGTGTCTGCAAAACTTAAATTTGGACGATATGTCAGTGAAGCTATCTAACCTTGTTATGATCCTGCTCTCTCTATCTATCCTTGTCAGGATCTCCCTCTCTCTCTCTCTGTCTGTCTGTATCTATCTATATAAGTATAAAGTAGCATACATTGAATGCTGCTGGTAATAAAACAATACTCAATGTATAATTACAGAGCTAAAAGTTATACTACTAATAAATATACATTTTGTTCCTCATCGGTAACACAACTCTGAGTTTCAGGCACGATGCAACTGTCAAATGCTGACATAAAAATGGAGTATAATTCCATTGTCTATAGCATTTAATTTTTAAAAATGTCTCAATACAGAGTAAAGCTTTATATTATTTATTATAGGAGATTAAAACAATTTTGTTTTAATCTTCCTATAATATATATATATATATATATATATATATATATATATATATATATATATATATATATATATATATAAATAATCAAGAAGAAAACCGTAAAGTGTCATTTTAGTTATAGTTTATTTTGTGAATATCTCTATATTCATCTTTTAGTAAATTTTAGTAGATTTACTAGATTTCAGTCTAAAGAGATGATATATAGATATTCGTGAAATAAATTATAACCGAAATGAATCTTTAAGGTTTCTTTTTGATTATTATTATTATTATTATTATTATTATTATTATTATTATGCTCTGTAGTTTATATTGAGTTCTCCCTGGATTAATATCCTCGTTGGAATTATCCCTATCAGTCACAAATTTGTAATATATATATATATATATATATATATAATTTAGTGTTTTAGTTATGTTATGAATGAATTAATATGGAAAAAAAAAGGAAATCAAATTTCATTTAATGAAAACTAATAAATACATTTTCTAAAAGGAATCTTAATTTTCAGGCTCTACTCTGGGTGCCACTCTGAAAAAGATAGTTCTTTAGAATTCAAATATTAGATTTTACACAAAAAAATTCAAATAGCCTCTTAGCTGTAGTTTGTTCTCAGTTATGTTTTTTTCTTTTACTCTACGTTTTGTCATTCTTAATCTTTACAAATGTCTACAGAATATTTCATTAAAAATTTTTCCAATTTCCTTTTTGAATTTAAGAGCTGAGAAAGTAACTAGTTAAAAAAAAAAAAAAAATAAAAGTGTTTTTATTTATTTGAAAGTTAATTGCTCTAATATGTTGCTGATAGTGAAGACCTGAATCCATTTTTTGATACTTGTATGTTTTATTTTGGCAGGCTGTACCTGAAATGACAGACATGATAAAGAAGAGTTAATAATTTGAGTATTATGGACTTTTTCTGTCTTCTGGCTTCCTTTTTCTTTCTCTCTTTTTTGCCATTGGCTTATAGGAAAAAAAAAATTGAAGGCACAAGAAATATGTATTTTTAGACAGATTTTTTCAATGATGACTTAAAACACATTTATACAAAATGAGTTGAAATTGGATTTTGTTTGTATGTAAAAATTAAAATCATTCAATCAATAAATTATGAAACCAACTATTTGTTTTGTTTTCCTTTTCCTGATCAAACTTATAGAATTGCTGCTCATCTAAAGCAAAAACAAATTGACTCAGACTTTTGCACTTATTTAAATTTACGCACTATCCACATGTAAATTGCATGAGCAAATTGAGATTTTGTTTTCACAAATTTTAAGGAATCTTATACAATATAAGTCCTCCTATATGGCAGTGAATGCTAGACAATCTCCTTACAGATGAAGAAGAAACTTGAAGCAACAATAATTTGATTCTACAGAAGGATGTTGATAATATCATGGACTTAACATGTGAGCAATGACAAAGTTCTAGAGAAAATAGAAATTCATTTATAGTTAAAATCTGAAAGAGGTAGTTGAAATTTCTAGGGCACATAAGGAGGAAAGAGGGCTTGGAAAATTTGACACTCACAGGATGGATTGAAAGAAATGAATAATTAACCTAATGAATTTGAGTAAATGAATAGTGGAGTAGGATTTGGGAGAGACAGCAACAAGACAAAATTTATTGAGATGCAAGGGACAGAAAACTGTGGAGAGCCATGATCATTTACATCCCGAAGAAGAAGCTACTGAAATTATTTGTAATGTTTAATACATACCAATGACTTTGAAATTCTGAAAAAAAATCTTTTGTGTATTTATATTAGCTGCAGCTAAATTTAACTTACATTTAACTTTATATCTGTATCAATTGGAAATAAGAATTCATATACTTTATGATCTGAAAATATGAAATGTAATTTAGAGCTAAACACATAGACATTGTCACACAAAAATACAATAAACATACAATGGAAATAAAAGTGTGCAAGCAGAGACAAAATTAGAAACAAACACACACTCCAGAGGCATGGTGTATGGATTATCTGTCTATATTTCTGAGTTGAGATCTTGTAACTATTTAAATTGTTCAGACTGTTGTCCTCGTCTTTATTGCCATATTCACGATGTTTTGGCTATTGTATGCTCTGGACTTCATCAGATGATATATGCTGGAATTTTGAACTGAACCCTTATTTAGTTCAAGGGTGTAGATTGTTCTAATTCCACATGCCATGCCTTTGGATATTTCAGTTTCAGAGTTGTGAGTTCAATACCTAGCCACTGCAGAAGGAACAAAAACTTGGAAAGTTGAGTTACTAAGGAGAATTAACTGAAATTGAGATTTCCAAAGGCATGGCACGTGGAACTAGAACAATCTACCCAACCCCTCCCCGGTGTACTAAATAAAGGGTTCAGTTCAAAAATCCAATGTATATTAGCTGAAGAAGGCTGGAGCATACAACATCCAAAACGTTGTGTATATGGCAATAAAGACGAAGACCACAGTCCGAACACTGTAAGTAGGGTATGGATCAGTTATAGTATAAGAGATAAGGAAAATAAAATAGGCTCTGTGTTAGTAATAGTTTTGTCCAACAGTGATCCAAGAACTAGTGTCATGTTCTTAAATATCCTTGTCAAATTGAGGCTTTCATGAGGCTATCATGCATGTTGTCTAACATTTTCAGAAATGTCTAAACTGTCAACTACTATTTTGTTAGATCAATGAAGCCCGTAGGTCTTAGAGGGGACCATACTTCTTTGAACCTTGTGGACTAGTACTACAAAATCACAAAGAACTGTAACAAATAACAGTAACTGCATCACTTGAGGATTTTCAACACTGGCAACAACTAAAATGGATAGCACTCAAGGTGAAAATAATATCATCAAGATATTGATGTGCCATACTACAAATACTGGAAAGAGTTATAAAAATTTGTAAACTTTTTTATGAATTTCAACAGACAGTGATGTTAACGGTTTGGTAAATGAATCCTGAATGTTTCTATGTCAAAAAACAGCTAATATTACAATTAAAGCAGTGTACACCAGAAATGGACATTACTACTATGTCATGGCAAAAATCATTCAAAATATGCAACATCACAAAGGGAATTGGAAGATGATAGTCTTTTTGAGAAAGACAGAAAAGATGCTAATGCCAACATCGAAGAAGTTAATGAAATCTAAGTACCATGAGTGAAGAGCTCGTCTGAACAATTACCATGAAAGTATTTATAGAAAAGGCAGAGGGAAGCAACTTTATGGGAAAGTGAGTGAAGCTGAGATCCTAGGTCAGGACCAATAATATTGCTGATTTGGATTTTATCAAGAATCTCTAAATGTATAGTTAGTGCACTAGATGATATGTAGCAGCAATATTAGAATAGCACGGGAAAATGGTAGACTTGTAAATATGTAAGATAGATTCTGGAGAGAGAAATTGTCTAGCATAATACAGTGAACCAACTTTCTTGGCAGCTGACCTAGCAATGGATTCAATATACTGTTTTCACTTCCTGTCAGCTGGAAATGTTAGCCTGAGAAGGTGCAATGTGTCACGCTCCTTGAAGTTAGCATCAGCCATACTGATGGAATACAAAAAGGGGTCTCTCAGATGATTAACAGAGAGTAGTTTAGTTTTGGAGGCATTAAAATTAACAAGCCATTCTTTGCCCCAGTTAATAGCAGATTGTAGGAAGTGTAGCTTCAATGTGACGTTATCGAACTGATCAGACGTACTATCGAGACAGGAGTAAATGTCATCAGCTTAGATGTCACGATTAGAGCTAATGTTATCAGGAAGGTCGTTAATGGAAATTAAAAATGAAGTAGGACCCAAGATAGAGCCTGGGGGACACCTGCATTAGTACGAAAGGATCTAGGGGAGTGGCTGTTTAGGATAACTTTCAATTCATGATTTGATAAGACTGAATCAGTTAAAAAATTCATCCGGTGGGCACTATAACTTTTCAACTTGTGACATATATATATATTAAAAAAAAAAAAAAGAGAGAAACTGCAAACTTTTTTGGTTATAATGTGGATTTGTTTTAGTGTATATGTTATAGTTTATTCTTCATATTTTTGCTACACTTGTTTCCGGTTCTCGTGACCTTCTTCAGGCAAATTAAAGGAATCAATTTTTAAAGAAATAAATTTTCCTTATGTTCTTTTAATGTTTCATGGTTCGTTTTCTGTATTTGTAGTGAGCCTTGATCTCAATTTTGGACTGTTGGCAAAAGTGAATTTCTGCATAAGTGATAATAAAATCATTAGGTTTGGTCTTAGTTGTAGCGATGACGGATGTGTTGATGATATATTTTTGATAACCTTTTCCCTATATATATATATATATATATATATATATATATATATATATATATTGTGTATTTGACCAGCAATCCCCTTTTTATACAAGTTTTATATAAGAGGACTAAAAGGTACTGTGATTAAGCATTTTATGGAATTTTTCTTGCATTGAAACAAGTATTTTGTTTTCTGGACAAGTGTGTAAAAACTGTTCAAATACTTGAATATATACAACATTTGGACACACTTTATGTACCTTGCTAGTCATCTTCAATAAAACGTTTTAACAGAAATATTTACCAAAATTACACAAAAATATCTTGAAATACCAAAACTTATATTTATTCAATAAAATCGCCACTGGTTTCAACCACGGCCTTCAAATGACTTCGGAATCTCCTGCAACTCTTTTAAACGGTCTCCTTGTTTAAGTTGGTGAATGCTCCCATAGTCCTTGTCTTCAGTTCATCTTTGGTGTTACAAGGAGTTTTGTTGGTTTCCCGCATATTTCCAAATTTCTGTTGGAGTGAATTGTGTCATGTTGCTCTTTTTCTCACAGACGGTGCCCAACTGACCCTACTATACTGTGCAGTCGACAAAATCAAAAACAAAAAAAACCAAAAAACCAACGCGCATGCACTAAATTAAAAATATTAATGACTACAAGTTACCCATCACACCCTGTATATATGTGTATATATATATATATATATATATATATATATGTGTGTTTATATATGTATGTATATATATGTACATATATATACGTATATGTATACATGCATATATATATATATATATATATATATATATATATATATATATATATATATATATATATATATATATATATATATATATATATATATGTATGCATATATATATATATATATATATATACACACTTGTAATTGTGGCGGTATTCACCCAACATCGGTTGAATCGGTTCTGTCAAACGAACCTGCCGCATCCTAAAGGGCGTGTAAATCCATAGTAGTAGTTTCAGTGGGAATTTGGATTAAGTGGTACCCGGCTGCATGTACACACACTAAGAACGGTTTTCCGTAAAACCTTTATGGCCACGTTGCACCTGCTTGGCGTATAATTGTGCATTTAATGTTTTACTGCATTTTAAGAACTCTAAATGAATACTACCTTGACGACTCTACCACACGTCCAACATTACATTTCATGCAGCTCAGAGTTTGCGGTCGTTTGTAGAGAGTTATCCTCATCAGTCTTTTGCGTTGAACATTGTCGTATGTTAGGGTACCCCAAATCTATTCTTAACTGCCACATAGGATTAGTAGTTAGAATGAAATATTTGTTTTTACAATTGGTTCCCCAAAACGGCAATCACTTTTAACTCAATCTGCTCATGAGATAATTTAACGATAAATGGTGAAAGTAATCTGGAAAAGAAATTAGTTATGTAATGAATGATAGGAAACTGATCAAAAAGAATGGCCTAAAGTAATCAAATAAATGCTTAGGCGGGCACGGCAATAAACTGAGAATTGCTCAAACCTGTAGACTGAAGTATTTTAAAATATTATCAGCACAAACCGGAAACTTTCCATGAGAACGAAAATAGCAAATTGGGGTGGTGGATTTCTGCGTATAGCGTGATTAA